GGTTTAACTCCGTCAACGAAATAAAAAGAGCTGTTGAAACTTTCTTGAACAACCTCAGGAAAGAAGATATCGAAAAAACATGTTTACAGAAGTGGGAAGAACAGTTGCGGCGCTGTGTGGAAAGTAAAGGAAGGTACTTTTAAAAGGAAACTAGTTGTCCAGTCGTCCAGTGAATAAAATTAAATGCTAGTAATCTTGGTAAGATTCTGTAAAATTAATTTAATAAAACCACTTAAATCTTTAATTCTTTGTTTTGTTTTTTTTTTTTCAGAATAAAAATGCTAAAAATCCTGGAGGGGTCAGTCCGACATGTCATTTTCAAAACACTGTGACTCAGTTATTTTTTGACTTAGAGAGCTCGGATTGGTCTTGTTTTATTGGTATTTACCAGAACATTAACTCTACACAAACTGCATTTTGACATCTGCTACTGTTCGCTCGAAAAAAAAATAGCAGTACTTTTGGGACACCCTATGTAGGAGCAATTCAGTCTCATCAGATTGCTTTTCAAGCATGGTTCTGTATAATGTCAAGATCTTTTTCTCTTCGTTTCTCTGTGCTGTTTTTTCTTGTCTTTTGGTTTCTGTCAATAATTTCTGCTTTTTATCTTCTTCAAGCAAACTATGATTGCCAAAGAAGGAGACTTTTAGACCCGCGAGAGATTGTGCTGAGGTTTGTCGATATTGGAAATTGTCTTGTCTCGCCTTCGTGGGTTCCTAGATGATCCCATCTGGGTGAGAGTACCGCCCACTAATGGAGTCTTGAATATCGATGAGCGCAAGGAATTTCTTAGGCTGTGGTCTGCTCTGCAGTTCGTTTATTCCATTCCTGTCGGAGAGATGGAATGCACTGTCCAGTGAGTACTCTCTCTTGATATTGAATTTATAACAGGTGGATGTCCAGCTAAATTCCTAACTACTCCCAACTCTTCTCCCCCCCCTTAATGTTACTTATTGCGTCTCTACTTAACTTGGGCCCTTTTTTATTTCTTTTAAAGAAAAGTATAACACTGATTTTCTTTAAATTATGGTGCCGTACTGATCATGATGTGCAAAAACTTCATAGAAAATGTTGAACAGTTCTGTTCTTTTCAAAGCTCGAATCAGAGAGGCGTTGCTGTTGTGTTGCACTGCTTAAATGTGTCCAAATATGGACGTGTTGCAACTTTTTCATTCTTTGCTCCTTTTAATCTCATCAAGTTGTATGTCCTAGTATTTCTCTACAATAAGAACTCCAAATAATCTAGTGCAAGTAGATGCGAGAAAGTCTTCAAGGACCTCCCTCAAAAAATGGGTGTTCTACCTCACTCATCGCTCTTGCAGGACGAGACCCCTTTCCAAAGAGTGTTTAATTCAAGTAGACAATATTTACAAACATATCAATGTGCTTAAATTTCTGGATGGTTTATTTTCTCTTTTATAATGATTCTTGTGTCGTCTTCCAGGGAACTTTTCAGTGAAGGCCTCAACTGGGCTGTCTGCTCGATGATTGTTCTTCTAGGACAGCACCGCAGATTCGAAGCTCTTGACTTCTCTTACCATTACTAAGAGTCCAGAGGGTTGACAGGGAAGACGAAAACGTCCAAAGCATTGTAAGTCCATTTAATCATTTTTTAAAAAAAAATTTTTGTCGCCCCCCCCCCCCCAAATCAGTTTTGAAGTAATGAGCAGTGGCTAAATACCAAAAATACATGTAGGTAAAAATGAAGAGATCTTTCATTTCTTTTCATTATTTGCCTATTTAATAACCCATGTTTATTATTTTGATTTTTTTTTCCTTTTTTCATAAATTATTCTCCAGTTTTTTCTAAGAGATTATTGAGTAAATACTAATCCTTTCATGTATGGGAAGTAACAAGTTGATTTCATAGGGTGTCTTTAGCTCTTGAAAACCAGGAATTGTCAGGAAATTCCATCAGGGCAGGAATATCTGAAAATTTATCATGGAAAATCATGGAATTTTACGGCAGAAATCAGGAATTTGAAAAATCTTGAATGTTGAAATCTGAAAAAATATCTTTGGTGCTCACACAATTGATAAGAAGCTCATCAGTTTGGTTAGGAGCTCAATGCCCGGAGTTACGTTTTTGTCATTCGTAGTGAAATTAACCAATGCCAAAAATTTTTCATTTTCAGTTCCATGTGTGGAAATAGTCGACATGGAAAGTCAGAAAATTTTAGTCTTGGAAAACCTGCAAAAGTCAGGGAATTTTTTCCTGCTGAGGCTGTAGACACCCTGTTCAAGTCATAAGAATTTTCTTGAATTATTTGAGTGAAAACAACCTACAAAAATCGAGCTCAAAGTCGCGTAGTTTGAGCTTCCATTCTGATGGAAATTGCTGAGAAAACTAAGATAAAACAGAAAAATATCTGTCCTGTTGCAGAGACATTTATGAGTGACTCCTTGTGACTCCTCTGCCGAGATTCATGGTCTAGACACTGCATTGTTGCCAGATAGTGCTGAAATTTCAGTACATTTCTACATTTAACTAATTGTCAAACGTTCATATCTTTTCTCACAATCTAGCAACCTTGCTGAGCAGGCATTCCAATACACAACTGCATGCAGTAGAAACAATATAAGATTCAGGATTTGTCCAAATAAAAGACAAATCTTGTCTCAGAAAGATTAATTGATCTGGAGTGAATACACCTAAAATTCCTAAATATCTAAAGCATCCATCTGTTTCCTGAGCTAGGTTTTCTGAGGGTTGTTAATTTCTTGTTTCAGAACCTCGAACGGATGGTGGACCAAATCCGCAGGTTTCAGGTGCTGAACAAATTCGCGACATTAAACAAGTACCTGAAAACAAGCAAACACGATAGTGCCTCAGTCGAACATGTCCGCTGCTTCCCGCCACCGATTTACCCCTCCCTTGCAGCGCACGCACACTACTATCGACCGGAGAACCTGCAGTCTTTAACCGTGCATAACCTCTAAATTCCCATGCTGAAAGGAATTTGTGATTTATCGGATTAATGTAATCAGTAAAGTTTTGTCAATAATAATCTTGTATGGAGAGCTGAACTTTTCGGTGACTATATATTCTTCTGCTATAAAAATCATCATGCTGCAAAATGGAAGTACCTATCTTACCTACCTACACAACAACATTTTGATGGTGTAAGTCCGCAATCACATATCTTGTTTGCGGTGTCTGAAAATCTCCACCTCTATGTTATTTTCTTGCAGGAGAACAAATTGACACCATTCTTTGAAGTTTATGCAGAATTTTCTTTGCACAAAGAAGAAAAATCACGGCAGTTTTTAAGAATTGCTGTTGAGTAGTTTTCCAGTTAAAAAATAAAGTATGACAGGAAGTCTGCAACGTCGCAAACCGAGTTATGTGATTGCCAACTTACACGGTTGATTTGCAAAATGAGCGCTTGCTCTCAGTCAAAATTTTAAGTGTTTGCGCAGCTTTGCTCGTATTCTTCAACATTCTCTCCCAAATGTGGATAACAAAACATGTAAATAATGCGATGGATCATTGTCGTGGTTGTTCCTACTGCAAAATTTTAGTTAAAATTCAATTCCTTTCTTATCTGATGCTGCAATCACAAGCTCAATGTGGCTTGAATGTAGGAGTCATCAGTATGATGCCTGAATTTTGCGTGTGTCACGCTAAATTCAGCAGAGAATCTAAGCAACCATCGGATAATGTCAGATTTGTCTGAACTACTGGAATAGATTCGATACACATCTGGATGGAAATAAGTCGAATTTGCGAAATTTCAGCTGTTGAGCAATGACAGTTGACTTCCATATTCAGCTGCCAAATTCAGCGTGTGATTCCGGCCTAACTCAATTTACTCACACTGATATGCCTGCCTCACATGATGAATTTAGCAGCTAAATATGGGTGTCAGCAGTTGACATTTTGTAAATTTGAGTTTTCTTAACAAAGATTTACATCGAATTCAGTCAAATAGTTCAGACGAACTGATTACTGCTGAGCTCGGATCTTCATTGATACCCTAAATTTTGAGCCTTAAATGCAAAATTCAGGCATTCATGACTTCCTTATTCAGGAAATTAGGCAGGCATTATATACAGAGGGATATTTTGAGAGATCACTGCGGTAGCAGACCGAATGTTTCATTTTTGAAAATTTCAAAAGAAATTGTACATGCCCTTACTAACTTTGAAAATGAGGTCTGTCCCAGCAGATCAATTATTGCTATCTAGAGAATTTATTAAATGGAATTGAAGACATAGTTAGTTAGTGCATTAAAAGATAGAACTTATGCTGTAGCATATGACTTATTCTCTTTTTCCTAGTTTGCACTTTTGATTTTTAAAGTCGTACATGACTTTCAGGATAAATTTGAACGATCATTGTCTACGGTTCATATGGACATGGAATGATATTCTTAGCTATTAGGAAACAAAACTGAGTGACAAAAGGCAAGATATGAGCAAGATTTTAGAAGGCTTTAATTGATGAGATTTTTTTTCATTTTATAACGCAATCAAATATTACTGTGAAGGCAATGGTTTCACACTCTTGATAAGTGATGTGACAGAAACTGATCATTAGATAAACAATGTTGAGCATCACTAGAGGTTGACAAGTTTAACACACAACATTGAAGATTTAATTACACATATCATGATTGTGGGATCATCTTCAGTTCGCCAAAAATGCATTTTCTGTGAACACATTAGATACTTAGAAAAAAAATCATTGTATTTTCCTAGTGAAGACAGTGCTCTGCCTTCTACAGGCAAACCTTAAAATTACAGGACTGGGCCAATGTGGCGCCTAAAAAAGTTGACATACCAAAATTGAATGCGCCAAAATGCCTGTTTAAAAAGTTAATTAGGATCCTAAAAAATTGGTTTTATTCCTGCAAAGGTGTCGCCATCAATTGTAAGGGGAAGGTAGAATGCTGAATGCCGAGATGCATTCCAATAGTTATTTACAGCAGACACCTGATATGGTGTTTGCTCAACACTTCTATTGAGTCTTCAATTGACTTAATGAAGAATCGTTAGAACTGTCAGTACGTGGAGTAATTAACAATAATTACAGTAATATTTGTGGGTTGTTTCCTTGTTAGACTTGTAATTTTTGAACAGGATTTTATTTTGTAATTTTGTTTCTTGCAGTTTAGAAAGTAGAGAAAAAGTCTGAGGAATGAAAAGAGGTCTTTTACTGACATGCTATCGAAACGCTGTGCTTGAAAAGATGGGGGGCACTTCAGTGCAGGAACAGACAGATGATTGTGAACATGAACAATTGCGGATGATTAAAAAAAATTTTACCATCTGCCGATTGTACAGCCTCTGTGAACAAACAAGGAACTCTTTTGGGTAACAATTTTAATATTCTTCACATGAAAAGATTAATTTCATTGGGTATTTTAGGCAGGTGATCATTCAACATTTCCTTTGAGTCTTTAATTGACTCGATGAAGAATCTTTTAAACTTCCAGTAGGTGGAGTAATTGACAAAGATTATAGTAACATTTCGACAGGGTAAGTCGGCAATCACATATCTCGTTTGCGGTGTCTGAAAATCTCCACTTAAATGTTATTTTTTTGAAGGAGAACAAATTGACATCATTCCTTAAAGTTTTTGCAGAATTTTCTTCGCACAGAGAAGAAAAATCACGGCGGTGTCAAAAAATTACCATTGAGAAGTTTTCTGTTTAAGAAATATAGTATGACAGGAAGTCTGCAACGTCGCAAACCAAGTTATGTGATTGCCGACTTACACCGTCAATTTATGAGTTGTTTCCTTGTTAGACTTTGACTTTTTGAACAGGAGTGTATCCTGTAATTTTGTTTCTTGCAGTTTAGAAAATAAAGAAAAAGTCTGAGGAATGAAAAGAGGTTTTTTTACTTGCACAGTAATGAAACGCAGTCCTGCAGTCCAAAGCTGGAGAGCGTTGGGATCAGAGTGGAAAAACAGCATTTTCTCGCACTAAAACTGAGAAATTAGAGGACCAGAATCGAACACATTTTAACTGTGAACGCGCACTGAAGAAGTGATGTTCGAGACCAGAACTAATACTCCGTATCAATGGCATTTCTCCTTCACATTTCTCATTTAACTCCATACTACAGGACCCAGTTTATTCCGAATCTAAGAACAAAACCAAGCTGAATTATGTACGCTATAGTGCTCTGTATCATGCTCGACATTCTAATAGAAAATTTTAAACATAAAATGTTAGAAAACTGCTCATCTAGATAATTAAATCGCATTTTTAACGCCGGATCTCTTGGCTCATTTAATGTATTGCCGAGTTGCCCTTTTGGAGCTCGCTGGGCCCTTTGGGAATAGGTCCAGAAAAAAGGACCAGCATTTCTCGTCTCACATATCTTGAGAGTGTTTCACGAAGTTTGGTGTGTTGAATTTTTTTAAATCGCATTTATAACTCCGGATCTCTTGGCTCATTTAACGTATTGCCGAGTCGCCCTTTTGGAGCTTGATGGATCTTTTTTGGAAACAGGTCTGGGAAAAAGGACCAGCATTTCTCGTTTTGCATATATTGAGAGTGTTTCACGCCAATTTTCGTGAAGTTTGGTGTGTTGAATTTTTTAGGCTGGCATAGGCTGGCAAGGTAAATGAAGAAAATAATGTAGTAGAAAGTACTCTTCCCCCTCCCAATCCCCAACTTCCTCCCTTTCTCTCCTCCCTAATCATTAGTGGTCGGAACACTCGTGACGATTAGTGCCTTGAACGGGAGGCGATATGGCAACACTGCATGAGGCACTCTTGCGCTCCTAGTGGCGTATAAGAGAGGCGCGCGCTGGTCTATGGGCTGCGCGGTAGTGTTCCTTCCTCAGTCTTTCTCCTGTGGATTAGTTCGATAATTCGACCTCTGTTTTGAGGTTAGAATCTTGTTTTGCTTTTGGCAAGGCAAGGGAATCCAAGGTAAATTTAGGGAATCGTAAAACAAAAGCAGGAGTAAGCATTAATTAAAGGAATTTCCAGGATTTTTTCGTAATGAAATTTGAAATAAGAAGTTCAAGTGCATAATACAAGTCTAAACTTATCGATCGAATTCACCATCATCAAATATCAATGTAAGTATTGATAACATGTTATCATCCAGTGCTAATTAAGAAATTGAGAAGCATGGAAGATGCGGTAGTCATACACGAAAACGCCTGCAAATCGAAAGTAAAGAACCGTCTACTTAGCTGACGACACCTCTATCATACTTTATTTTTTCTTCGGAAGTCCAGTCCATCGAGTACAATAGAGTCGCAATGTACTGGAGTGCCAATGAAGTCAATCCATGAACGGGCCATTTCCAGCCCCTTGTTCGCTGGAAAGTGTGAACCCGACAGCATTTTGCAACACGGCGGCTTATGAGAGAATCGCGGACTATGAGGGGTTTTTGGGATTTATTATCTTAAATCAATAGCTATTTTCGCGAATTTTGGCAAACTATATTGACCAATATCATAACTAATTAAAAAATGTAAGGAACTTCTGGTTTTAATGAGATAAATTTTATACCTGTATTTTCTGAGCGGACCCCGCAGATACAGTGCCGCTAATCGCCGCGCACTAGTCTCAGAAGTCCTGGACAAAACGGTATCAAAAAGTGACTTCATCTGCGCTCCAGTACATTGCGACTCTAATTGTACTCATTGGTCCAGTCCTCATAATTTCTTGAAAGCTTCCACCATTTTTCTTCTGGGTCAGCAAAATATTCTGTGCCAATTGTAAGCTGTTTAACTGTTGGAGTAATTGTAATTTGTAAAAGTACAATAGGAGCTGTACTATAGGAACTGTTCATTGTTTTATACTCGTTTTAGAGTAAAAATGTCAATTATCTTAATGTACTGTTTTTATTTTTCAGAATCCAAATGGCTCCTCAAAAGCAATCCAACCCAGAAACAGACCCTGGCACTATCGCAGGGAAAAAGACATTTAACAAAAAAGAGTGGCGGCAGAAACAGTACAGTACTAAATGGAAAGGTAAATCAGAGGATTGTTTGCTTCCTCCATGTTATTTTGGATTTTGACTCCAAAATTACTCAGATTTCAATTGTAGTCACGCGGAAAAGTAAATCTAAAGGTTAAACGGAAGTTTCATCACTCTCTCGAGTAGGTATTCTGCAAGAGTGGCTTTTTCTCAGCAGTAATTGTTTGTGATAAATCTACTGGAGACTTTACTTTCCGGATGGCCCCAAGAAGTATAATTTGAAGGCAACCGGCGGAAACATAAATCCTCTCCAGCCTTTGCCAAATTGAGCAGGGTGCGCCCTGCAAGATCGGGTACGGGTAGTGGCCAGTCTCTATGAATGGTGGTTGATACAAATAGAATTGTATGGCAGTCCCAAGTAGCAAGGATACCTATAGATGGACATAAAATCGTAGGAATGTTGCTATATTATATTTGCCATGCGTATTGCCTACTCCCTCATTAGAAGGCGCGGAAATTATTGCTATATTGTTGCTATGATGTAGCAATAAATTCCGATTATTGGTTGTGTCACCTGTTGCCAATCTGCTAATTGCAAGGCGCAAAAATTATCGCCATAATCTTGCTATTAGTATGATGAAAAACTCCCGCGTGTTCCTTTCCGTAACTTGTTTTCAAATCTCTAGCATGAATGCAGGAATGTATCGCAACAATTTGATGAAACAACCATTTTTCCTCAATTTAGTCTTCTCGAAATAGCTCAAACTCGATAAATCTGAAACTTAAAAAATTTCAATGCTTTTTTAAAAGGTTTGAATTTCCAGTCAATCAAAATAAATATCGTCTATGCTTTTAACCAAGTTCTGGGAAATTTAATTTTACTTCTTTCATGCCTTTCTTTCCTCCTTTTATTTCGTTTCTGTTTTTGTTACTTTTAATTCTTTGAATTTTTTATTTCATGCAAATGCGCCGGTAAGGGTTTCGTTTCATGTCGGAGCTATATAATGTGTGAAAAGTGAGGCACCCGACAGGTAGCCTGGCTAGCTCAAACGGTAAAGGCGGCGCACGGCAGTAATCCGAAGGTTGCGCATTCTAATCCTGCCTCGGACAGAAGAATTTAAAGGGTGCTGGATGATTGAATCATGAATTTCCTGTCAATTCCGGCAAGATCAGATTTTCGAATGGATTCTGCAACGTTGTAAAAATTAGGGTAGACTGATAAATTCCTCAATTTTCCTAAAACCATTTGGCACCGCCACAAATAGCAATGACATTGCTATTAAGTATAGATTTTTTTATCGATCTGACTCGACGAAATCGGGAAAAATCGTCCAAATGTTGACTGAGAATTGCTACTCTATATATTATTGCAATATTTTTTACAACTTTATACCTATAAATTGATACATTATATCAATTTTTATGTTGAAAAATGCTATTTGGGGTGCTGTTAAATTTCCTCTGAGGCAGCTGACTCAGAATCATGGTCAAAAATGAGGGCAGATCAATTGAATTTGGGGAGAAGCTTGGAGCTTTCTGTACCCCTGTTGTTATTCTTTTATTCATTTATTTATTTTTTTCAGTTCAAAAATTCGAAGAGGAGAAGAGGAAAGCTGCTATCCAAAAGTACCATAAGGAACTGAAGAAAGAAAAAATTCAATTACCTCAATCTAAACCTAACACGAGCAGAAACGAGAAAGAAGAAAGGTTTGTCATTTTGTTCTAAACATTTTGATTTTTTTGAAAAATTTAAAGCACCCTTTTCCTCAATATTCTGTCTCCGCTTGTTGTTCAGAAACATTCATTGTTTCCTATAATGAGGAATTCTCCTTGAAATTTTTGCCATTTTGGGAGGAAGAGCCATTGGCACAGGGGAAAAAAATTGGTGAGGAACGATCAGTTTAGGTAAATTTAAAGCATAAGAATATTTTTTGTCTAAGCAACTGTACCCCCTAAATACAGCAATCCTAGAGATCTCACACATGAATGGGAAAATGTTATTTTGGTTATTTCATGTAAGAAACAAGAGGGATGCTGAGACTTCTAATCGCTATAGTAACACTATCTCAAGGAGTTCACTTTATAAGAAGAAAATTCTGTTTTCTGTTTCTTACAAAAAATTGTGTTACAGTTCTTATTTAGTTTTTTTTTTTTCCTAAAAATCTCATTTAGACAATATTACCTTGTTAATAATAATTTATCTTTCCAGCTCTTAACACTGAAACATAAATTATATATTAAAAGGTTAAGATGACTCCGGAAACGTGACTTATTGGTTAAGATAGTTCTTGAGACTTTTAAAAGAAAGCAAGTCTCAGAAAGTGTGTTTCTCAGTATCCTGGAAACAAAAATTAAGTGATCAAAGTATGAGATATGTAGATGATAAACTAATTTGAATCTCTCCTTTCAATTTAAGTAAGATAATCTCAGATTCTTACCAAAGGTCTTTGGTGCCTTCATGAGATACCTGAGGCTCAAAATCCCCTCTGAATTTTTGTTAGTTTCATAGCTTTGGGGTCATCTAATCTTCTTGTTCTTTTTCAAAGTTAATCTATTTGTCTGCTAACCCTTTTCACCATTTCCAGACTCAGCGCATATCAGTTGGCACAAAAGGAGTATGAAAAGGTCAAAGAAGAACAAAAAAAGCAAAGGGAGGCAGCCATTAAAAGGAAACAAGAAATGAAAGAAGCCCTCAACAAATATAAACAGAAAAAAACTGAAAAATACAAGAAACTAAGTAAGAAAACTAAAAAAGGACAACCAGTTATGAAGTATCGATTAGAAATGTTATTAGAAAAAATCGAAAAGAATTACAAAAGCTAACAAAAGTGAATGTTCTCACAATTTTTTAATTTTACCATAACCTCCAATGAAGTTTGCGGAATTCATTTCTCTTATCTTCTTATATCCAAAAATGATTATTTTTTATGACTCGCTTCTATCTCACTTCTGGCAGGGGCTTAGAGTGTAGTCAACTCCAGCTAAAAGAACGCCTGGTAAAATGGAAGGAAAAAGAAATAGTCTCTTGTGCATGAAAAGCCATGTGAAAATTCAGTAAGCAGATGTAAGCAGACATTTTGAGTATCTTGAACCTAAAGTCCCTAAAATTAAGTACCTACATCATGTATGTTGCATACATTTCCAGTAGCTTGAACTGAATTTTCTACTGTATGAAGAAATATTGTAGGTAACATTCTGGACATTATCCTGCCTTTCAAAAAATTCCATCTCATTGACTTATTTATGCATATCCAGGCCTTGTTTAGCAGATTACCTACAGGTAATCTGGAAAATAATATAGTGAATGTACTCACTTAAAAAAGACAAAGCACCACTTGCTAGCCAACCCGATTGAAATGAAACTTTTTCTGATCAGTTGGAGTTACGCATGTTTCTATTAACTGTTTTCTTTTTATTTTCATCGGCAAGAATTCATGTTACTTTACAAGCCAATAATTCATGTAACTGTCAATAGTAATTTTTTTTTTTTTTTTATAAGTACATCATTACTTGGTTTCCAGTTTTCAAGGAGACAACACGGCAAGTGATATTTTTCAGTACCTATAGGGATCTAAGTGCACTGTTTTCTTTCTATGTGTAATGTTCTTTGTTATGATTGGAGCATCGCAATAAAATACCTCAGTGAACAACTCATTGCTTGTTTTAATGTGTCTTATTTACATCTTTGACCATTCATTCAAAATTTAACTTTGCAAAATATCCCTGCCAAAAATAGATGATAAACCAGCATAATAACTTGTACAAATGTTGCGCTCATAGAGCAATCGGTATGTAATATTTTGATTTTTTTCTGGCAGTTGACTATTTTTGTTCCAAATGTATATATCTACTTATCTTACACGCACCAGCAGGCCTGTACCTATGGGTTCATCACACATGCATAGCCTTACTATCCTGGAATAAAATATTTTTTTAATCACCAGATAGTGTAACTCCGTTTAAAATCATTCGAGCTTCTTTTTTTTCTTTTTTCCTTTTTCCGTCCATCCTTCAGTCAGTAAAATCAGTAAAAAGAATGTGAGAAGGAACAACTGTGCATAAGCATAGTTGTATTTCGAATCTCACTCTCTTGGTTTCATTTATTCTACTACGGAACCTCTAAAGAATTCCTGTTTTTTATTGTGTTGAAAAATTATACACAAATGATAATTGGCTATTTTTCCACTTAAATCAAAATGAATTGTATAAAAAGTAGGCAACTTCGTGATTAATCAAGTTAGAAGAACGTCCTCCGCAGTGAAATAACTGGGAACTAGGGTACGATGATTTTCAAATTGAAGAAAGTTTCGCGGTATCAGTGTTGCCTTTCTTCCAAATTGACACATATTTCAATGAAATATAACCAGAGCCTGGATTTCGTGGAAATTAGAAATTGGCTTCCAAATTGATCGTTTAATGATGAGTTACGCTTCTGATAACTTTGCATCGTCCTTTACTTTTGATTTTCATTAATCTTATACCTCTCAAAAACGAGTTCTTTTCAAGCTAATCTTGACGGACACCTGGTAACTTTCATGACGTCACCTTGAAAAGTCACGTGATCGCTGTCATCTGTGAGAAAGATCAACAAAACAGGCTCGCTAAAGCCCATCCCATCCTGAGATTGTGGACGTTTTGTTAATTTTTGGTGTAAAATTTTCCTGGAATGATGGGTGCCTCATTTAATATCGACAATGGATATTTGGAGGGTTTGTGCCGAGGATTTAAGTGTGGAATATTGACCCAAACAGACTACTTGAATTTGGTTCAATGTGAAACTCTTGAAGGTTAGTGATAACAGCATTTCCTCTGTTTTATGCGATAATTACTCTTAATTCCAAACTTTTGGGTGGAATTTTATGTCGCATTTATAACTTTTATACATGCATCACAAGTAGTCAACCCTATTTTCGATGGTTACATCTGAACCCCTCGGTATTGATTCATCTATGGTCATACACTGAACGTATGATAAGAGCTAACGCAAACCTCTGAAGGAAATTACACATCAGAATTGGAGCTTATGGACTCAATCATTGAGAGGCGCAAAAGAATTGACTATTTAACGATATCATATACTCACTGGATGCATTAGTCTTGCTCTTGCTGCAGTACTAGTGATCATGTAACTTCAGGGCGTGAACTAAATACTGCGACAAGATCATTGCAGAGTTTCCATCACAATCTATTGTTTTAAGGATCTAATTATTGCTATATTGTTGAATCCATGCAGTTTGCTTTTTCCTTGCAAGAATGTTCTCTTAAAATTTTGTCCTAAACTGTCTAGCCGATAAAATTAAGCACTTGGGGGCGGAATTTTGAAACAGGGCAATCACTATCAATGTAAGGTTTGCTAGTTTCACCATTGATATCTACTGCCCTTCTTTTCTCAGTGACGAAGGACTAGTTTAGTTAAATGAATTGGATACCCACTGTGTGATCTCTCTATCCAAAACTTAAACTTCAGCCAAATGCTTTTAGGTAGTGAGGGAGTGCATTGTAGACTGTCCCAGACCTAAACTACAGGACAGTATCGACCTTAAGTTCATAATATCTCCTCTCTCTTTCAGATTTAAAGCTGCATTTGCAAGGTACAGACTATGGCAGTTTTCTCGCCAATGAGCCCAGTCCATTGGCTGTCTCTGTCATCGATGATAAACTTCGGGAAAAGCTGGTAATCGAATTTCAACACATGCGAAATCAAGCTGTAGAGCCACTATCAACATTCTTGGATTATATCACGTAAGAATCTTCTCAATGGTACTAAACTAAAGCTTTTAGGACAGCTCAAAGAACTCATGCATGAGAAATTATCTAACCCTGCTAAAGTTGGGAATAGCTCATGTTCACAATTGAATTGATGTTTTCTTACTAGAGGGCCTAAGCGCCAAAATCCAAGTTTTGAGAAAAACCGGAATAACTATGCTGTTAAATTTGCGCTCAATCTTTTAAGCCCAGAAATTGTGAATGTCTGAAGAATAGCTCCTGCAACTGGACTAAAAAGATTGAATGTACACCCTCATCAAATGACACTTTTTTTTCGGTTTGTCTTAAGACTTGTATTTTGACGCTTTGGCCCATAAGGAAAATTTTAGTGGAATTGGGACCTTCATTTTGTTAGTCACCATGAGCCTCTTGTGATTGAATTCCCAGTCAAGAAACTCATAAGTTCACCCTCCTTTTCCTCTCTTCTCAATACCATTTTCTTCTAAAAATTTCTCAGGGGCCGTTCATTACATATGCAATGCTGCAGTTTAGATTTTTTAACAACCCCTCCCTCTCATGATGCTCTCACAACGTAAGTCCCTACCCTTCAGCTTGTGTACTTGAAATGATGTGACACTCTCCTCAACCCCCTCCCTCCCTAGAGTGTTAAGTATGTATTTTGTGAATGACCCCTTGCACCTTAATTCATTTTGCGTAAAACATTTTTTCTACGTTGCCTCCCTCTTTTCTCATATGATGAAGAAACTGAAGTGGAATACTTTATTTAATTGTATCTTCATCTAGATCTTCAATTTGTCCCTCAGATCTTTTTATTTGTAAACTACAATTAGCATCCATAGTATTCCAAAAATATTTATCTGTCGGCGATCATTTTTTTTTTTCAGATACAGTTACATGATTGATAACATAATTTTACTGATAACTGGCACCCTTCATCAGCGTCCAATTTCTGAGTTAATTCCAAAATGCCATCCTCTTGGTAGTTTTGTCCAGATGGAGGCCATCACAGTCGCCACAACACCTGCAGAGCTGTACAATGCTGTTCTTGTCGACACTCCATTAGGTACTATTTTTAATCAAGTATAACCAAAAATTAGCAAGAATGTTGCTGCCCCTATCGATCGAGTCACTTTTTCTCCAATGAAATTCAAAATTTATGCTAAATGTTATTAAATACGGATGCCAGGACTTAGTAAGTTTTTGGACAACCGCTCTCTTTTTGTGCCGTCGTATCTTGATTTATTTTAAGTTCCGTACTTTTAAAGGATCCCTGTCATTCTTAATATGTTGGGGCACCTTCAAGTGCGTGTGATACTGTGCAACACTACTGTTGTGAAATAGTTGCTTGAGGGGCCTCGGCGGCCGGCCAGCGCTAAGCGCGCATTGGCGTCTACAAACCTAGACGGATACGTTAAGATTTGCGCAATGCTTGAAGTATCTCCGTAGGTTTGTCGGCGCCAGTGCGCGTTTCGCGCTAGAAGCACACCGCTCCGTTCTGTGTTTGGCTATAATATTTAATCTCGCGGAGTCAGCGTTTTTCAACTCATAATTTTGAAATGTTTCCACACTCTGCATGGATTATTCTTATTGAAATTGATGAACAAAAAGTATGTATTGAAGGAAAATATTATGCGTGTTTTGTAAATATTAAGGTGGTTTCGTGTCAAATTTAATGATTTCCAAAGCACTTTAATTTTTCCTTTTATATTTTGTGCTTTTACTATGCTGTAGCATGGTGTACGTACAACCAAACGCTCTAAATTGGACATATTTGACTCTAAAAGATCGATTTAAAAATGGGTTGACACCGTCTATCAAATATGTTTTTGTTATTTTTCAGCTCCTTTCTTTGTTGACTGCATCAGTGAACAAGATTTGGATGAGATGAACATTGAAATCATCCGAAACACATTGTACAAAGCGTACTTAGAGGCCTTCTATGAATTCTGTAAGAAGCTTGGAGGAACAACAGCAGATACCATGTGTGAAATTTTATCAGTAAGTCTATGCAAATATTTAATATCTTTAATTATTTTTAAACAAAGAATACCGATGCAACTCTTTTCAAAGTTAATAATATTGGCTCCAAGATTCTGCGTAAGTCTTGAATTTTTACTTGTGTACGGAAAATATTGTTCTTTGCTGGATATACCTAATTAAAAAATCATACGGGTGTCATCGTTACTTGAAAAGTATCATAGAGAAGGTCTTCAGCGATAGTTTTGTAATTTTGAAAACAATGCATCAAATGTTAACAATTTTCTGGAAAGCGCATCGTCTAAATGAGCTTGAAACGAAAATTTTGACAACCGAAAGTGAGCTGTATCATTTAATTTTTTCACCAAGATATCAGGCAAGTGGAACTGCAAATGAATTTTTTTTTTTTTTTTAAACGTATTTCACCCAACTCTTGTAAGTATTCATTCCTCTTGTTAAAGTTATCCAAGGCATCTTGAAGCATCTTGCTGATAAGCCCTGTATTATGTAAAAATGCTAGCTTTGTGGGGCTCATCAGCGAAATGCACTTCGCTTTCTTTGCTTTAAGATGCGTCATTTTTTCTTTTGTTTGCCAATCCTTTGAAGTAGCTCAGAGAGGGATTTAAGTTTATCTCTGAATCAACATGCAACGGATAAACATGACTATTTTTTGCAGTTTGAAGCTGACCGGCGTGCTATCATCATTACCATCAATTCTTTCGGTACGGAGTTGACAAAAGACGACAGAGCCAAGCTCTACCCTCGCTGTGGAAAGCTACATCCAGATGGATTGGCTGCCTTAGCTCGAGCAGATGATTATGAGCAAGTGAAGGCAGTGGCTGAATACTACGCAGTAAGTTATAGTTCCATTAATGTATAGAGAAGGTTGTGAAATTAATTCAATAATTTCAGTCAGAAGTACACACCCACTTTGTGTAGTTAATTAACTACACCACTAGTTTTTAGAAAAGATGTATGTAAGTATGTTTATGTACTGCAATACATACACTTTTGTATACCTGTCCACCAAAATGCAGAGGAAATATATATTTTTGATTTTTTGCTGAAGGCTTTTGTCACGGCAATTAAATGCTTTTATTCAATTTGTGTCAAGGCTTGAGCACAGAGTAACCTGGAACCCAGCCTCTGTACATCTAAATGAAAAAAAAAAAAAAAAAAAAAAAAAAAAAAAAAAATTAATTCAAATGGAAAAAACCCACACTAAGAAGTGGCCCGAACTGTACGTAACAAGGTGGAGAAATGGTGCTGGGTCCACACCATTTCGCGGGAAAAACAAAGCCAAGAAATTCCAAAAATTAATATTTGAGTCAAAATTAAATTTTTTGAACTCTAATGCGTACCAGTACAAAACTGAGGGGGGAGAGTGTGTTCAGCTCAGGCAGTTTGCATTGGAATATTAAGTTGGAGTCACGCCGAGAGATCTATACCGGTTTGGGCCTTTTTAGACCTCATTAGCAGATCACACTCGGCAGTGAACCCAACTTAACATGCTGCAAAATCCAAGACGGCATTAGCAGCCGAAAATTTTAAACAGTATCTCTGGTCAACTCTTCCAGAAAGATTTTAATGATGTGAGTAAATGTGAGATGTGTGTTAAACAGGATGCTTGTAAAACAACTTTTCACAATATCAATGAGAATGTTTCTTCTTATGAATCTTGCTGTTTAATTGTGTTGTGACTACCCTGTTAAGACAGCTGTCCTTTTTCTCTGATAGGTGCTGAATTTAACTAATTGTTGTGTTTTATTCTAGGAGTACAGTGCTCTTTTTGTAAGCGTTGGTAACAATCCTGGAGAAAAAACTTTGGAAGACCGTTTCTTTGAGCATGAAGTAAGTACTGCATCGTTGCTCTGATCATCCACTTTCTCTTTCAAAACCATGTATGTAGTGGAGACAGAAGAATGTCTCAAGTTAAATAATAAAATCTTTTTGGAAAGAGAGATGATTGAAAATATTTTAGGCTCATTTCATGAACGTAACTTTAGCAGTCATGTAGTCAGCCAATGTTTTTTTTTTTTTTTTTTTTTTTTTTTTTTTTTTTTTTTTTTATTGTATGGCCGAAACTGTGATCGTACACTTGGTTTTAATTGGAGTTTTGTTGCTCTATCCTAGCACTGCATTATTTTAGTCTGAGGTGGCATTAAAGCTCTACATCCAGTTCCAGTCCTCATTTATTGTTCTTTTCTTTTTCAGGTGAAGCTCAATGTTTTTGCATTCCTTCAACAATTCCATTTCGGTGTTTTCTACTCATATTTGAAATTGAAGGAACAGGAGTGCCGAAACATTGTTTGGATAGCAGAATGTGTGGCTCAAAAACACCGCGCTAAAATCGACAACTATATTCCCATCTTTTAAAACTTCATTCCACCTTCGTATTCTTTCGATTAAGATACCTTCTTTTTCCAGATATGTACCCAGAAGTATTGTGTCTTTTTTTTATAATGATAGAGGTAAGAATAATGATCCTCTGCTGAATTATTGGTGCATTTACCGGGATAAGAAATTTTTCCATGTTTGCATGTAGTTTCTGATTTTGTGAGATATTATTAGGAAACTTTTCAACTTTAGAAGGAAGCTACATTCAAAACTTGATGATCAAGTTAAGTAACTGTAAAAATTCATCAGATATGTCGCTACTCCATGGTATTTCTTTTAAGTAGATAATTTTCTTGCAAAAATGTTGTCAAGTTTATTTCAAGAAAGGTCTGGCAATCAAGAACTGTTTGGGATAGCTTTAAACAGAATCGTTTAGAACTAACCTCTAAATTTGTTTCTTTCACAACTTTAAAATTTGCACTATTTTTTTAAGTCTATTTTGTGACTTGAGGGAATTTTTTTAATTTGAAACCTTCAGTACTTGTTATCAATAATTTTGTGGTAGGAGAACTGATTGGTGTATTTAACTTCGAAAATGTATGATCATTGTTTTGTTTTACTGAGTTAAAATGCGAGAATCATTGAGTAATTTAAGTTTCTTTACTGCGAAGTCACTGGTTTGCCTTCAAAACCTGATTTCCTGAATTTTTTTGTACAAGAAGTATCCTTATCTTCAGTTTTATGACTGAAAAATCGATTTTGATCGTCTCACCTAAAAATGCAAGTTAATACTCGAACAAAACAAGCGCCTTGACGGACGCTATAATTTTTGACCGTCAAACAGGGACTTCCCAGTCGTTATTTTTATTTCCAGTACAAAAAAGTACAGTGTTCTATCTCCAACAGTAAACAATATTAACTAAGTAATAACGTAATAACTGTGGTCGCATGAATTTTGTTGCTTTGCATTTACTCCTTTTGTTCTTTAAATCGGAAATTGAAGCACCTGAAACTATGGTTCCCTTTTGGTCAAAATATTTTTGTTGTTATTTTTTCTCTTGTATGTATTGTATTCATTAAACGTTTTACTGTAGTTAACACCCGTGAAATTTTTCTTTATTGTCTAAGGCTATGGTTAAATAATCAAAATTTAAATTGAAAAATAAAATTTTCCGGTACTAGGAGTTGCTGTGATATTAATACGTATACAATACGCGTTTCGGAGCTTAAAATTTCATCCTCAGTCGGCAGCAAACTCCGACTGAGGATGGACTTTGTTCCGAAATATGTCGTGTGTAAGTAAAAATATCACCGCAAGTGAGTACTAGAAAATTTTATTTTTTGTCACATTTGACTTGTGGCGTGGCCCCACGTAGTTTCTATTTAAATTGAGGACCATGCTGGAAAAAGGGCGTATGTACTAAGTTCAGCGTTGTTAGAAAAACGCATCTGAAGATTTGAAATGGTGTCCCGAAAAATTAAATGCAGCGGGTGGTTAAACCAAAGGCAATTCTCTTAAATTAGATCCTACAGCTTTGAAATCCATTAAAAGTTTTAAAAAAATAAATAATTTTCCCTCTGTAATCATTGGACAAAGTAAGCCAGAGATTCACCCTTCTTTCGAAATCCTTGTATGTACGATAAAAGAAGAGGATCGTTTTTCTTTGATAACTCATAAAGTAATGAAAAAGAAGAAAATCGGGGAAATGACTTTCTGCAAAGACATTTCAGTATTCTACTGTGCCAAAGTTTTGTAAGATCAGGTCACTGATAGTAGAGAAATCCAGCTTTTCCCGGGCGCATTTATGATTGCTGAAGACACTAAATTCACTATTAAGTTGATTTCCTTCTTTTGTATCTCGTGACCTAATTAATTTAAAGCAAATCAAAGAAAGCAGTTTCTGCAGAATTTCTTCAGCTTTCTATCGAGCTAAAGTTTTTTTTTTTAAATCGGAGGTTTATTGGCGGAAAAACTGAATTTTTCTGGTTGCACGTACATGAGAAAAGTGCATACTGTTTTTGTTTGAAAACTGATATAACTCGCTGTTGCACCTTATTGAGTCTGAAGGGTCTCCAAAGGTGGTCAAACATTCAATTGGTTACGAATTGCACACATTAGATTCTGTTTGTCTAATTTCAATTACCTCTTGTCCGCCGCCCCCGGTATGGGATATACTGTGTTGCCAATTGTCCAGAAATGAACCTTAATTGTAGAGCGGTTTCTTTTTAAAATTGTTTTTACTTTGGTTGTCTTTTTAAACTGTGGAATTTCTGTTACCTTTAAACCGAGTGCTGCTTAATAATTTGATACATAGTCGTTATAAATGAACTTTTCAATGGCCAAACCTTCATCACCCAATGATGGAAAATGCGTCGATTTAATCATTCAAAAAAAAAAAAAAATGCCCATACAGAGAACTTTTCCTTTCATTTTTCAAGAGTATCTGATGGAAATTCTGTAAACTCTCGTCTGTTAAGATTTATTGATCTGAAACTGGTGCCAAATTCAATCAACTCATAGATAAGGTACGCCCCCTGATCGCTACTCTCTCCAACCCCCCAAGCGCTTTGTCGGGAAATCATTTTCCATAAAAAAAAACCCTTGTAGAATATTCTGTAGTTGTTCATGAGACAGATTTCCTCTTTTATTGATTAAAAACTTAAGATTTGTCCGATGTTGCCAAATTTCTCTAATATTTTTCGTAACATTCTCGAGAAGGATACGTTCGCGCCCGCGTGTAAGGTGGCTGACATAGGAATTTCCACGCTGCGCTGTGTCACAGCGGCCATTTGGGAGATTTCATGATCGCATACTTGTATCTCACATCATATATAGAGTCACGAGAATTTGTTTATAAACTCATAACTCCGAAACTAAAAGCTTCGAACTGCACTTCTAACACTACTAATGTAATGAGCAATGAATCATAACTCTCACATTTCACGTTCTGTGATGTACAGTGAATAAAAATGAATTAATAATCATTCTATTTGGCTAAAACTATTCCTTTTTATGAGAACAAAATGGAAGTGACACTTTCTTTACCAGAAAACAGGTAAAAATCCATATCTTGGAAGGCAAAATGTGTAAATAAGGAAAGTTCGTTGGACCGAAGAGGGTCGTATATTCGGTGTACTTTACGAGTCAATTATTCACTTAACGAATCGACAGATTTTTCTCCAACTTGGAGGATACTCTCACTATTCGACATAGAATCAGAAAAGCCGAATGTTGAAAAAAGGGCGCATCTCGAGATAAGCCCTTCTTCCGGCATGGTCCTCAATTGAAGTCACCATCTCACACTTGCCACACAAGTGGAAAGATAATGTCCATCGAATAGCACGTAATAATTACAACAGTATGTTGCAGTTTTCAGAAAGTTTCTCTCTTCACATCTTTCATTAATGAAAGAAATTAAACATTTTGTGAAAATAGGGATTACATTGATTTTAAAACTCAATACCTCTGTCCCAACCTGAATAAGGGCTCCTAAATCTCAAGTTTATCCTAGCTCAGCCATGAATAGATCAGAGCTCGTTTTAGAGCATTTAAACAAGCCATTCAAGTTTGGTTGGTACTTTCTGGTTAGTCGGGTAACCAAAAGTTTTTCCAAAAACTCTGTTCTCATTAAATTTATTAAACTAAAAATAATTTAATGCGCTTGAAAAAACCACTGACACCATTTGGTTCGCAAGTTACTAGAGGGTAGGAATTTGAAAAATATTGGAAAGCGATTGAAATTTAACAAAAGACAAAAGTTTATTTGTACAGAAACAATATACAAAAATTCGGAAAAAATAAGCAAAGATCCAAACCGAAGTGTTCAAACAAAACTTGTGGATAAAATTTTTATACAAATATATGCACAGATCAATAAATTTACAAACTTTGAACATTAAAACCTAGATAGAGAGAAACAAAACCGTTAGCATTACTGTCCTTTCCGAGTTGGAAGCAACAACTGTGTTGAGGCGACTGTGTCAGGGAACAAACTGTTATAATTAAGAACCGGTACATACGCAGCGGTGATCACTCTTCCTGTAACAGAAAACGAAACAGATGATAAGATATCACTGTTATAATGACAAATTCCAAGTTAAAAATGGGAAAATAATTACGATATTAAAATCTGAAAGGCTGCAGTTGGCAGTGAAAGTACTCCTCACATTTTAGAAAAGAGGAAAAAAAGACGGAAAATTTTCTGTTCAATCAAGAGATTGAGCAAAGATCAACTGCGTCTGCCACTAAAAAACAAAGAATTTTTCTAAGCATGAATTTAGTAACTCCGCGCCCATTAAGGAGGCAGTATCATTACTGTGTACATTGAGATTTCGATTTATTGGATTTCACAGGACAGATGAATTGATCGAGTAAATCGTTAAGATCGTTAAATCGAAGGACCTGTTAATTCCAATAGCTTGAAGCTCTTGAGGGGAAAAGAAGATAGATCTGTTAAAGCACTAAATTGGAATCCATTAAATCAGATCCAATAAATCGAGGCATTGGTATTACTATACTTTTCAAAACCAGGTGAATATTTATCTAAACCTGTGAAAAGACAAAAAAATACCAGCTGTTCAAGCGCGATGAAAAATTAACAGACAATGCAAGGGTAACAAGACGAAAATCTCAGTTTTGATGAGCTAACAGGGATAAAATTTGCACGCGATAGAGTGTCCGAGATGTACTGCAACCTTCCTCTTTTGAGGCCGACGGTAAGAGCTATTGATAAATAATTTGCACCGTCTTCTGGACCTAACGTCCAGTTTTAGAACAAGACTCTGAGTAGGTCTTAAACTTCGAAATCGGCTAAGTGTAGCATTCCCAAGACAACATGCAAAAATTGACCTTAGCATTGTACGGCTTTTCTTTAAAAAAGTAAAAAGATCAGAGTATTAAATCGCAGAACTTACCCGCAAACCACCGTCCGTGCAGCGAATTAACAGCGGCAACTGCTGTATTTATTGTGGGGCATTTGACGTAGACATTTCCTTGGGGTGATGCTTTGTCAACAAAAACGTGAAGAACGCCTCCATGCTTGTTGCACTCTTCGATCACATCATCTCTTATTTCTTGATCCCAGTTGGGGTTGGTTTCACTGAGAAAAACACACAAAAAAATAAGAAAATTAATTCCAACTTGAGAGATATTATTACCTGCTAGTCTCATTGCCTTTGCCCCTAATGAAGGAGGAAATCAGGTCAAGCACTACTTTCCACTGATCAAACATTTCCACTACATTCGAAATCAAAGAGAAAGGAAATTGGTGAGTTTAGGAGAGAATTAAAATGATAGGTATAATTACGTTTTCTCCTTTTACGCGCATTAATTTAACTGATTAACTTAATATGTTGCTTAAAGCCAGTTACCTGAAAAACTTGAATTTTCACCTTGACTCTTAAAACCTTTGAAACGACTCTGCACACTCATAACGTAGATGTGTGCCCTGTTCGATTTCAAATTTTTTTATTGTTGAAAGTTAGCGTAATGAAGACTGTTGATCAGCATTTATAGACAAGTTTCAGGCAATAAAAAAATTTGAAATCGAAAGAAGCACACATTCCTGTTAGGATAAAGCGGGATCCTTAATTAAAAGGAAATCGTTCCTTCCAGTTCTATAATTAGCCTGTTTGAAGTTGTGTAGGAAAGTTAATTTTCTGTAATCTTTACAAAGAGGAGGCATTTATTTCCTTCCTCTTGTTATGCTGCACTTAAGTGAGACTAGCCGCATACATGCCTAGGGTGTCAAGCAGGATTTTCTTTCCCTTTTCTCTCTCAGACTTTTCAGGTTTTCTCTGGCCCTTGGATTGATCAGCTACCGGTCTTTTCCCAGCTCTTTCATTTCATGTCACAAGAAACACAGAAATAACCGTAACCTAGCACAAAATACGGGTACAGGGCACTGAGAAGCTCACTATCGAAGGGCTGCGGCGTCATTCAAAATATCACACTTGCACAGGAGTTCTCAACTTTCCTTGACTTTTTGGTTTTTCTGATTGCTTGACACCCTGGTACAAAACGGCTTTAGAGAAAATACAGTTCAGCCTTTTAATGCAGAGCTGCACAGAGCTAGATGAATCTTCTTTCGGCACTTCAGTTGCTGAGAGTGGGGTGACTGAACAGATGCATCCCTCTCGACATGTAAACACCTCCCTTTTTTCTCAGCAGATTTGAGATTTTACAAGAAATGTGGGAAAATCGTTTCAAAATTGAGGACACCGCACCAAGAACAGCCTATAGGCGTATCGGTCGTTATTAAGCCCATCTGATTTTCGGATTCTACGTACCCTGGACTGTGCTGTGGTAGCGATAGAACATAGATAGGTAACGGCTCGAGGTCGAAAAACCTTTTTTTTCCGAGTTAAGTCAGGCTTCTGGATTGATGGGTGCAAGAACGACCTATAAACTTAAGGGCCTATAAGGTGCTAGCTACCCCTTTCTTTACTCACTATCGATATTCTTTCATTTTGCGTTAATCATGCGTGAATAAAAAGATTAATACTTCATATTGCCATCAAAGTGACTGTTGGGCGTAATAATGGCCTATAAACCGCTTTTTTAAATTAAATACATTAGAGTGTAAACCCAAAATGTATCGCAAAATCTACCCAGCATCCTTCAAAAGAAGGGTTAGGTCACCCAAAAAAACCAAAACAGGGTACCTGCATAGAAAAGTCTGCGCAGTACATCAAAAACAAAACTTTAAATGCGTTTTTCTCAAAACGCGGTTTCCAGCTATAGGCTGTTCTTGGTGCAGTGTCCTCAATTGAACTAGAGCAAAGAATATAAAAAATGTCCAACTTACCTTGAAGGATCGAACATGTTTGCTAATAAGAAACACTGTGTTGCAATGGGAGGATTCGTCACAGCCGTAGCCGCAGCTGCTGGAGTGGGAGTTGTAGCCATCATTCCGACGATAGCATTGTTTGCTAATTGCAGAGCGTTTGCAGCAGCAGGTGGAATTTGCATACCCGTCCCTGTTGAAGGAATTTTTTTTTAATTCAGTTAGTTTGATGCTCGAACATGAAGATATTTATAAACTAGAGAAAATTCTCTTACGTAGGTACTGCTAGCTTCAGATTAATCCCTCACTTATCAGTATGGTAATTGGCAAATTTTGGAGAAAAAATTTCTAAGGAGTGGAGACTGAATTCAGGTGGTAATCTTCATTGAATGGAAAATAATTTTGGCGCATGTTATTCAGTTCCAAAAGAGTGACTTGTAGCCAAAAATGTGAACACTTTAGGTCCTTTCGGATGTTGCCTGTTCTGCTGCTAGCCTTGGATAAAGTAGAAAAGCGCTCCCCAGCTATATGAACGCTGTGCACTGACAAATTCTCCATGAAAACCGACAGTGGGCACTGTTTGGTATTCAACTATACCGATAGTTTGAATGGACCAGCATGACTGACAGTGGACTAATAGTACAACAAGACTGTCTTTAAACCTTAGAAATGCGCACTTCTACATGCAAGGATTTAAGTCTACCTTGACAACGTAAAATGAAATAAAAATTTGAAAAAAAAAGAAGATACAAAGGGATAAACAGAACTTTCTTCCGATATAACAGAAATTTCACTTTGAGGTGGGGCAGTTTTCAAAGTAAGACATTGTATTCTGCTTTCGTATATTCTTTAGCAAGGATGGAATTGATTAAAATGTAATTTATCTTCATCAAAATCCTTAGATTGCCAAAATCCTTAAATTCCTTTAAGGTGAGATAAGAAATTTAACACAATGAAGGAAACTCACCTTCGGCTAACTTGTACATCAGCTGCAGTCTGCCAGTGGCACCGAGATCAATTCCTGCCCTGTCTAGCTCATCGTTATCTAGGACAGATGGACCCATTTGCAGATCATTCCTCTCTGTAACATTCCCAACTTTCATTGGTCGACCTGCTAGTTCAAACCCGTTCAACTGTTCCAGTGCTTTTTTCGCATCTTCCGCATTGTGGAACTGAAAAACAAGAAACAAGGATATTCAAACAAATTGAAAGTTTCATGATAGCTCTGTGTGAAGAAAAAATAGGAGGGGGGGGGGATGAATATTTAGAGTAACCAACTTGTAACCAGTGTTCTCACTATACATTAAAAGTCCAGGAGCGGTTAAGAGGCGAAGCTTAATTTTAAGGTGCCACCTTGAAGCCTTTCTTGGGAATTGAGAAGATGTTTGATAATGAAACAAAACACTCTGCGGAGAGTAAGATGGCGCCAATTTTTTTGGCATCATTTTGGTGCAAAGACCCTGATAACATCAAGGAATTATTAGGAATTAGGATATTTTCAATGTTTCTCTTTGAAATAAGCAACTGCAATTTGAGAACAGTTATCATCTCCAGACGATTATAATAAATATAATAAAATGGGCTTGTTGCAAACTTTTGCTAGAGCAAAAATAAGAATAGTTTCCTATAGATAATGCCTCAAAAATCACGATGAGCCCATCAGCAAAGTCTGAAATGCACTCATAACTTCACAATCTGCGTTGGAAATTGGCGTTTTTTTGAGCTTCCCGCTTCTAAAACGATACTACGGCACAGGTAAACATTTTGTTAGAGGAGTCGCTCCGTCGTCGGCAATATTCATCATGGCCGACGCTTGCGCGGTTCCACGCGTATTTCGAGGAGAGTTCAAGGTCAATCAAGGCGGGCGAGGAAAATATGAACGTAAACGCGCCGATTGTTGTCTGGTCTAATCCTGTTCAGATGATATCTCGATCCATCACACTTGTTTTGGCGGATTGGCGTTGGCCATGATGAGTATTGCCGACGAAGGAACGACTCCTCTAACAAAATGTTCACCTGTGCCGTAGTATCGTTTTAGAAGCCGGAAGCTCAAAAAACCGCAAATTTCTTATGCAGATTGTGAAGTTATGAGTGCATTTCAGACTTTGCCTATGCGCTCATCGTGATTTTTGAGGCATTATCTATAAAAAAAACTCTAAGTTTTGCTCCAGCAAAAGTTTGCAACAGGCCCATTGTGACTCTTCTCTGAAAAAGTAAGAAATGTGCTCACCGTTATAAATCCGTATCCTTTCGATCGTCCGGTTTCTGGATCCGTCATTAACATTATGCTGTCAATTTTCCCGAAAGGTTCGAAAATTCCTTTTAACATATCTTCCGTTATGTTGAAATGTAGAGATCCAACATATAATCTCATTGGGCCAGGGTGACTCCTTGGGATTAAGTTAGGCATTGTGTTGCCTGCACGATTCTTTTCTGCTTGCGTTGGTTGTACAATAATTGGAATTCCTAGAAGTTTTTGTCCAGTTAGACCCATTGCCTGTCAGAGAAAGACGGAAAAAAGCATGATTAAAATTGTGTTTCAAGGGATTAGGATGAAGACAGAGAAGTCCATCTGATTAATTGGACCAACATGTACTGTATGTAAACAGATGATTTTGCAAATACTCAGAAGAGTATGAATGTAATAAATTGTATCATTTAAAAAGGGTTGCGAACTTGTAAGAGAGACTTGACTAAAGAAGAAACTACATAGTAGGTCAAACCAATAATGGTGCCTACATGGTTTTGAAGGATCTAGTATATCTGTCAGCATATTTTGACATTTTCTGTACTGCAAGTTTATAACTCTTAAATAGTAGCACACTATGACTGGTCCTCACCTCATGAATTTACACATTAAAACTCATAATTCATTCAATAGAGGACTAGGCTTTAGGCACCGGCATTATTTTTAATTTGGAGCTTCAGATAGAAAAAATTCAATAAATTTTAGGCCGTTTAATAATGCAAGACAAGTGCATTGTAGCTCTGCTAAAGATTTTCAATTTTTTACAGCAGCAATGCGCCATTGGAGGGCAACTTACGATGATCCATCGCCATTTGATACTCGTCTTGAATCGACATGATAATTATAAACATGATAGTGTCATCGGCTAAGTTGGCTGAGATTATGATTTTATCTTTCTTCATCAGAACTGAAAAAATTTCCAAGTAGATACAAAATTTCTTACCAAAGGCACAGATTCTGGGTCCTTAAATTCGATGTATGCTATGCCCTTAAATCTCCTCGTTTTGTTGCAAGTGATCAATCTTACGTCCCTAACCTGAAACAAAAAAAAAAACCATGGGTAATTATTATTTTTTCTTGGCAATTTTCAGAGTAACTGAATTTTGTCCTCAATACAAGGAGAGCTTACGGTAAAAACCTTTCATGACAAATGATGAAAAGCACATGATTATCAGAGAAAAACGGTATTACATGAGTCAATGATTGTGTGTTGAATTATATTCTAGTGGTATAGTAAACGCTTGATTTCCTAGAATTACTATTTTTTTTTTTTTTTTTTTTTTTTTTTTTTACTGATAGCAGAATTTTGGCTCGATTTACCAGATTTTTCAAAAAAATTGCCCTGCTGCTGTTGTGTGAACAATATCTTTACTATTTAAATTATCAGCAACACTAATAATACTAGAAATAGGCATGGGAGGCAAAAAAAAATAATTTTAAGGGAATGGATTGATATTAACTATTTCCTTTTGTTTACAACTATCATCTCTTCTTGAAACGTTTTCAGCAGCACTATACATTGTACTCTGGTGATTGGTTGAAGAGTACTTAGGGTATGTGTTCACAGATTTGAAAAACTCACCTTGCCAACTGATGAAAAGAACTCTTCTAGATCTTTCGCTCTGATCCGTTGAGAGAGCTGCATACAGAAAACTGTTCGGGCATCCCGTTCTTCTGGAGAAAGTTCGTCTGCGGGAGCTCTTCTGTTTACAACACAAAAAACATTCGATTAGAATTCAATTTCAACTGTACATTCAAAAATTGACACGAAGAAAGACACAAAGATGGAACCTTGATATGTCAACAGTTGGTCAGAGCTTTGAGCTCGAGAAAATCGGCTTCGAGTTGAGACTCCCAGCAAATTGAAAGGCAAAAGCTCAATTGTAATGACCTTACAAATAGAGGCAAATTTGTATCTGCTTCAAGTCTACAGATGGTGCCACAACTAATAGAGATGTTGGGCGCAGAAAGTGCACTTCTCATTTGGGGTGTCTCAGAATTGCTGCTAATCTTTCATCCATTACAAGGAAAGCAAATGCATGTATTTCGTTGAAACTTGGAATGAATATTTTTCAAGATCTCCCAATGGTCTCCATTCCAGAAGAATCACTAATACGTTCTGTATATTAGATTTAAAATGGCAGCAGAGATTTGCATCTGAGACAAGCACTTTCTGCACCCGATACCTCAATTGTTACTACTTAATAAGAAAACAAAATTACTTCTTGACAGGATTCTTGACAAGCCGGAAAATTGACTATGACTCCTTGATTTACTGACCACTGTCAACCGTTTTTTGTAGAGGTTGCATGAATTGGCTCTGAGATACATCTCAAGGCTACATATTTAAGGCATACACTCCAAATTTAATTTAGCACATGAATCCCCCCGAATCAAAGCAACTAAAAACTTGATTCAGGTCTACAAATAGTGCCTTGGTCCACCGCAATCACTTGCAAAACTTGAGAGAAAACTAGAAGAGGGTAGATAGTTGGTGAGTTATGATTAACAATAGTTGCACATTTTTTTCACAATGAAGTCAAAGCAAATAAACTAGATTTCCTGAGATGCCTTAAAATGTTTATCTGCAGTCATTGCTAATACTTAAACTTTCTTGACAATCTCAACTGATCCCTGATCAATGCTTTTCAGAGAATGCTAGGACTCAGATGTACGTTTTCTAAAGGGTTTGATGTAAATTGTCTCTCATTAGAATTCTTAACGAATTAGGAAATACTGAATTGTAGCTCAAGGTACGGTATAACAACTTACACTCCAGCAAAAGGCGGTGACTTCTTATACCTAGGCGGTGGATCTTTACGGGTTGGTAGTGCCAGTGGCGTAAGCGCTCTCTTTCGCCTCTCTCTACGCTCACTTTTATCTCGGCTCCGCGACCTACTATGATGCCTCTTGTGACCACGATCTCGAGACTTTGACCGACTTCGATGCTTGGATTTGCCATGATGCCTGTCCTTGGAACGACTCCTGTGTCGATCTTTTGATTTGCTCCTGTGACGATCTTTTGATTTACTCCTGTGGCGATCTTTCGATTTACTCCTATGACGATCTTTTGATTTACTCCGATTTTTCTCTCTGGATCTGCTTCTGTGACGCTCCTTGGATTTGCTTCTGTGCCGCTCTCTGGACCTGCTCCTCTTTTTCTCCTTGTCTTTCCTTAAGAACAAAAAGCATAACATTTTAACAATGAGTATAGAGCTTTAATGACAAAATGTCTAAAAGCTGGTGGAATAAACACCAGAATCTAGTGAAAATTACTTGATGGGTAGATTTCCTTTCATTTCAAGTCGACGGTGAAAACTGAATTTAGAAGTTGGGAACCATGAATACTAAATCTGAGCCAAAAAATTGACAGCAGGAGGGGGGGAAAAGTTAGAACTTCCGTTGATCTACAAGATATCACATCAGAATGTAAGAATAGGTTCAAATGTTTAATTTCTGTCGAGCGCGTATGGTCATCTGGTAAAACGTGACTAAGATCATCCTCAACAATATATGAATAGCTTCTTGCAGAAGTTTACACGGGTTCCTTCATTCTAAATTCAGTTCATAAGATACGATCATTCTCGGCTGTGATAACCACCCTAGGAGCGTCAAATAAATCTACAGCACTGAATTGCTTTAGGTCACACATGAGAGTTGAATAAATATTGGATTACTGTTCAATTACCTATACTTGAGGGATATTTCAAATAACAATAAAAATACACTGTGATAGAGTAAACTTGGCACAAAAGAAATCACATGATGCACAAAATGCCTTGAACATCACCCACCAAATAAATCATGATAATAAGTCATAAAAGTGGACACACTGACACAAAAACAATATGTATCAACCCGGAGATGCTCTAAGCGGTTTTTGGGAGTAGGGCAATGAAGATAACACATTTTTCGAAATGGGGATGACGCTTTTGCCAGTTTTGTTGCATTTGATCTTTCCACAAATATCTCTCATTTGAGGCACATAATGAAAAGAACAAATGCAACGGTGGAGATGCAAACATTATGTTTGAAACACCACACGCACATAAAAACAAATTGGCCCTTTTGGACGCCTTTAGATTTTATTCAACAAACAGCAAAAAACGTGGAAAGACAATAAAGACAAGCTCTTAATTCAGCTGCATTGAAAGTTATTTCAGACTAATAATTGGCTCAGACCATTTCGATTTCTGGTATCTCGCTACAAACGAAATCCAAGCATTGAAAATGATGTATTCCAAGGCATAAGATGCAAACATGGTTTTCAGAATGAAGCTAAGTGCCTATAAAACTTCTTGAGGTTTGAAACTTTCATTCAAAGAAATGAATTTGTGTTCAGAGGCTTTCATATGGAAAAAATCTGCTAATTCACTGTTTTTCTAAACACACACACTGAACACAAGTTTACTAAATCAGGAAATTGGAAATACTCTTTGCTTACAAAAAAAAAAAAAAATTGAGAGGAAAATTTAGAGAGGTAAAGAGCAAAATTACGAGAGGTTAATTTCCTACGAAAGGAAATTGGAATACGCTTTTCCACTTCCCAATACAAGCTGAAATGATTAATGAGACATGACCCTGACAAGACTTACCTACAAGTGGTAGGACCAATGCTTCGCGTATCAACTACATATAACTGTTTTTATATTATTTACTAACTTTTCAAATGGTTTGTAGGACCTACAAGAAGAAATGAAAAAGTTGATGATTAAAGGCTTTAGAGATAAGCTATTCATTCAGCTATTTGATAAATACAACATAGTCAGAATACCTTCATCACCTCATTTAGCTCCGTCCTTGATGACACTAAAACAAAACATCATTACAGATAAACCTCTAATTCAACTAGGAGGGGGGGGATAATAAAAAAAAAAATGAGATAAAGATCATACAGTGTTACAGCAATGACCTCATGTGGTCAAGTCTTCACCATTTTCCGACTATCTTCAATGAAAATTGAAGAGATATCATAATGAAGATATGACCACACAAAAACTACTTAAAAAAATTTAACAAGATAAACTGCAAAATCCTGATGACAGCTTGCTCTGCAGAATAGAGTAAAAAAATCAACAGGAGTCCTACCAAAACACTTACGACCACAGGATATTCACAGTTGAAAATTTGTGGTTCAAGTCCACCGACAGATGTTCCAAGGATCAAAAATCTGTTTCGCATTTTAAATGCAAGAAGAACCCATCGACTAGTAATACAATCTAGACGACACATATGGCTTGATTTACAGCAAAAGAGGGCGGACAGCTTGGGCAAGGGGAGGGGAACACCTTCATAGGAACTTGGCAACCTGGTACAGATGTGGCACCAAGTGCCCAGCTGCTCATAGCTTGTATCCATGCCTCGTACATGTTCATCAAGGTAGCTGTCACCAATTCCACACTTTTTCTACTGCTACATGCAATACGGATTGCCTCCTCATTACCCCATCATAGGTGCCATACGTGCAGTCTACACTGTGTTACATGTCTACCGAGAAAACACATATGAAAACCCCATGGCCAGTGAGTTTTGCTAATTGCTAAAGAAATTGAGAAGGAATGAGCAAAAGGGTGAAACCCTTACCTTGAAGATTTGTGGCTGCTGGAAATTCCATTTTCTTTTGGTTTGTTGTTGGTTATGTCATCTTCCTATGAACAGGGAAAATTTTGAGTTGAACAGCAACGGAGCAGAAAACAAACCAAAAATAAAAAACAAAAGAGAATTAGTTTGAGTCTAAGCACAATGATATTCAAATACCTTTGAATGCTAACAGTGTCATGCCTACTTCACTCATCATATGAAAAAGGCGAGTGATTTTCAAAGGTTGGTTGAGGATATATTTTAGTGTATAGTAGGTATTCATTGTGGGATTTACACAATTTTCAGAAAAAAGCAGAGCTACATCAAAGTTTATTAAAAAGAGGTCTGTACATTATACATAGGAGATGTGAAGTTTTTACTTTATTCTCGCCCCCNCCCCTTTTATTTTTCAACTTATTAAAATGAGGAGAATTGGTTTAGTTTTGCATGACACTGCTGGCTTTCAAATGAAAGTAACTTGAATTAGGAAAAACCAGGTCTACTTCAGAGCAGACGAATCACCGTAAGTTTAAAAAAAAAAATAAAAAATCAGGATGGAAAAATTCTGGTAAATAACGTAAGTAAAATGCAAATGGATTTCAAAAGTTCATGTTCGGTGACCAAACTTTGGGAGAAGATGAGATGCTGCTGAAGAAGCTCTTCAAACGGCGGATTGGTGGAAAAAAAATACATTTGTAGTTTTGAACTCTAATCCTGGTCTCAATATATAATTCTGGCAAAGAGATGAAGTTAGGAGACATTTTGTGCACTGAAGCGTTAACTTCCTAAGTTATTTAAGTGAATTGTTTCAAATATTTCTGCGCTGGGAATTCTGTGATGGACAAAATATCTATAGTAGTGCTTCTATCTTCAGTTAATCATGGTGATGAGTCCCTTCCTCTCCCTCCCATGCGCTCAAGGTGGGCCACAGCAGTTCGATTCAGTTAAATTGAACTTGAGACAGTGAAAAGCTGAAATATTAATATCTACAGAAAAATATGGGGAAAAGGAACAAAATATAAATTTTGAAGTTAGCTCAGTTCAGTAAATATTTTGCTTCCATAGAGTGTGGAATTTGCTGGAGTTTTGTTTGAAGTAAGTCTTCATAAACCTTCCACAAATATTTTGACCTAGGGGTGCTGATATTCCTCATGCTGGATGCTTACCCCGAACAGGCATTGGTTCTCACAGTTGGCACTTGCTTGACTCTTACAGATTAGATCAAAATTTCCATATTTACAGAAAATTGTCTGGGTTCCTGGGGAAAATTTATCGTTATTGGTAAGTCTTCTCATGTTACTTCTTTGACTTCCAATTGACAGGGTCCTACATTTTCTACCTCCTGTTTGATCCTAACAAATAGCTTTTTTTAGAATACTCTAAATATGGTGTAAGAGTTGGGCAACACAGAATTTTGGGATTTTTCTATTATGATGAAGAAAATTCATTCTTGTAGTCCTCTGAAAATCAGCAAAGCATTGTCACGGTGATTTTTCAGCTTGACACGAGGGTCTAACAAGAAAAGAGAGATGTACAGGAAGAGCGCGGGACTTGAGAGCTTAATTAACACAGACCAGAAGGAATTTCTTTAAACGAGTGCAGTACACAAAATCCCTCCACTATTCTTGCTTCTAATATTTGAGAGAAGATAATTAGAAGAGCACCAGAATTAACTTAAAAAAACACAAAGAGAACAAATGAAAAAAAAAAAAAAAAGGTGAGAGATAAACAAAAACAGCGGCGAAGGCACAACAAAATCAAGGAACAATGACAGGTAGCGTTGGATGCCCAGAGGAAAATCTGTCCGGGTTGTGGTTGAGGTCCTAGAACTCACCTCACGTGTAACACCAGTTGCTCAGCTAAGCTTCATTAGTGTAACAACAGTAACGATACCACAAAGTCTGCAAAGATACAGCCAATCAATTTTCCATCAAAATTTTAAAAAAACGTTAAAGTCATTGAGTCCTAGCTGACATGATGCCTATTGCCTAGAGAAATAACTCCTCTATTGGTTTGAGAGGACTCAAAGCTGGAGGGTTAGATGCAAGAAGTGTTCTGGGACAATGATAATCGATGACCATGTACAGGATACCTTCTGAAAAATAAACCCCCAAGGAAATGATAAAAATTCCTGTAAAATTTAGGGAGGTGGAATTTTCTACGGCAGGAAGTTTTCTGCAAAAAATTAGAAGAGAGGAATGATATTTTCCTTCAGAAATTATGGAAAAGATTTGTTTTCTTGGGAGCAATTATATTATGATGCCACTTCTACTTTTCTTCTTAGCTAGTTATTGAAGTTTTACATAAACTGAAGATATGATAAATAATTATTTTTTTTTTTTTTCAACTCTCCTCTTCCATGACTATAGAAAAAGTAATTAATACTTTGCTTGAGAGTTAAGGCTCATAGGTACTACAAAATGCTAAGGACCATACCCTTCACTGGGCATTCCACCCATGATGTAGGCTGGCTGCTGATGGATACGTAGTTTGCAAGTTGGCAACTAATCTTCTGCTACTGTCTAAAAAAAAATGAACATCTGCCCGGTACATGCTTTCAAAATCCTCTTATGTAATTTCTACCAGTGGGATTAAATCCAACCAAATTTTAGGAACAGCAGATGTTACAATAAAAAATTGTTCTGCACATTATTTTGATGAGCTCTTCTCAAGTGGCTGCATGACTATTCTAGACCTATTATGCTTGACTGTGACTGATAACCGGCTGCGGGACAGATAAAACTTAATTGCTTCACATCACTTATGATTTTACTTTAGATAAGATGAACTGAGGAACTCCTCAGGAGCAACTATTAGGAATTGTGATGGTAAAAGTATGCTCAGCCATAAGTAATTGAGGAAATAGTTTATGAAAGAAGTTGGACGATTGCTGAGCACAATACCCTTCAAACTGATGGTTAACTTCCTCAAGATGGACCGAAGAATATGTAAATCCTTTGAGTGATCAAGCATGTGGTTCCGCAACTGAAAGAGGAGAATAAAGATCGAGATGTTTAATCCTGCTACACTAAGCTTGATTTGAACCTTATAGAGTTTTGTTTTTTTGCCCTTCACAGGAAATTACAGCGAATGTTAGATATGGTTACTCATTCCAGTTCCTAGCCAAAATATTGCATTAATTTGTTTCAATTTCAAGAAAAATATAATAACAGGAAGGCTTTAAAAAGATTGCTTTACCTAAATTCAATAATTGATAACAAAAACTGCACATTAAGGAAACCATAAAATTTATCTTTTTAAATGTGACTATAGAGTGTGTAATTAATTTTTGAGACATAGTAGCTGATATTTTTCAAAATACCTGGGAATTTAATGTTTACCTATTTATCAATTGAATTTTAAAACATTCATTTTAAACTGCTGACAGTGCAGCATGTCAATTCCAATATCCACTTAAATGAATCGGTCCTCTAACGAATTGAGGCAAGAAAAGACTTAACGACTTGCATGGAACATTTTAATGCAGCGAGCTGCGGGAGAAAATTTGTTACAGGAGTAAAAATGAAAAAAAAAAAAAAAAAAAAAATTATTATAAAAAAAAACTGGAAGATTTCACTGTTGAAAATGATAGCTTAGTCTACCTCTGGTGTCCACTGGTCTGATCGGCCGCATTTCGCTTTTGTGAGGTGCGAAAGCAAAGCAAACTGTATTGACACGATATTGTCTACAAGATAGAAAAAATGGGATTTTTCATCAGACAAGGCATTAATAAAAGAGGAATTTGTAATCAACTATTCACTCACCAAAATTCACACAGAATTGACTGTATTTAGCAAAATTATCAGATGGACAGCAATAAAAAGACCCTGCAACATTCCTAGTGTTACCCAATCTTTCTACTGCACAAGAATTGCACCTCGAAGGGTGGCCCCCATCTTTGATTTGGGGGAAAATTAATGTAACGATTCATTCACAGTTATTTAACACAGGAGTTGAATCTTACCAAGGACTAATAATTCTACCACATTCTTATGACCCACAACTAAAATTTAAGTTCATATCCTCCACGGCAGATGAAGCTACACAAATTACCATTCTGAATGATGGTTGCTCAGATATGATGAAAATGCTGTGGGAAAGATGTGGTTTTTCTGGACATAGATGCTACCTTCATTGATATGAATGGGTTAAGGTGTTGAAGAACTTACTTTCCAAAATTTATTTTCACCCCTTTCGACCTTAATTTTCACCTCTTGGATCATTGTTAACCTTTAAGTATCATCAACATTGCCTTTACTTTAATATTGAAGAATGAAATTCTCTGAACCCATTGATAATTAAATGGTTAGCTTTGAAACCCACTCAACTTTATTGCAAGTTTCAGTTTTTTTTCTTACGTTGGTATTTTGGTACAGAACATTTACCCGAGCAGTTGATAGAAACATACAAAGATCTGATACTATTCTATCCTGAAAAGAAAGTACATCCTTGTCAGAATTTTTCCTCCTCAGAAATTTTTGCCAGTTTTCGTAGTACCAAAGTAAAACATTGCAATCGAATTCGGAAGATTTTGAAGCTAACCATTCAAGTATGATCCTGGTAAGATTCCACAACTGATAATTGCTCTCAACTGCAATAATTGCCGAGTGACTTGCGGCTTTTAATTTATGAGGAACCGAAAATTTAGCTTATGCTAACTTCTGTTGTAAGATGGATGGGCAATTTAAAAAGAGAGACTTTACAACGATGCACGACATAAAACATGGTAAAAATTTGACCAACCAACATCTATTTAAGAATGAAACGTGAAATAAAAATCAATTTCAACTCAACTGTCCGATTAAGCAATAAAATGATTCCCCTTCACAGCACATATACGGTGAACCTAAGTGACTTCACCTTTTTTTGATGGCTAACTTATCTTGTGCTTGAAATGAGTGAGGAAAATTGTAAACCATCAATTCAAGACAGAAAGACAGGGACACACAAGAGAAAAAAAAAACATTGACAAGGCTAGAATTTTCAGAAATTGAGGCGATTTTATGTTCTTTATCCACAGTGTCAAATTGAATGGTCTTGTTCCTCCCATTGAAAATATGACGGATTGGATACAATTTTGGGCTTAGTGGCAATATGATGTGCAAGAGTTGCTAGTGAATGATTTCAAGCTGCTTGAAAAGACCGGTGACTGCCCCGTTCAAAGATTAGAACACAGTGATAAACACATATTAATTAAAAATAAATGATGGACTGTTGAGCCTCAAAGTGTCGCCAGTTTTTTTCCTGACATTACAGAAGATGAAGAATGTGCTTGATCAACTTAAATTAGAAAGAAGAGAAAAACATATGATCGTGACTTACCCCTTTTTTGTAGGGTGCTTCCAGCATGGCTTCGATGTCAAATTCGTCTGCCATGACTAAAAGAAAACAAACAAAGGAACAACGAATCAAGAATTATGAAAATCCAAACTCAAACATTTCTTAGCTTTGTGAACATAAGAGGCATTTTTTGGGCTTATGCCTTAAGGGTGAGAAAATAGTTTGTTGCATAGGAAAATTAAGGGAACTTTAACTTTTGTTGATGCAGTCTCTGAAATGTGATTCCAAATTATCTGACAGCCAGATCAGCCAATACCTTACACAGCTACAGTCAGTGATTTTAAGAGGTAATAGTCACCGCAATAAGCACACAAAAGCAAGGTACTGATCCATTCTGTGTAGCAGCATTAATCCTGAGAGGTAGAACATCAAATTCATGCGGATTCAATGAATATTTGTATTAGAAACTATTTTCATGTTGTCAGCTACTTGTCATTGTCATCAAAGTTTGAGATTTTATTGTCTTGACACTAAAGAATTCACTTGCCAAATTTAACTGACACAGGTATGCAATGTGATAAAGGCAGCGTTTCTTCAAGGGAAAAATATTGCACTCAATACTGATATTTGAACTGCACTTGACTGCAATATTTTTCCGCTAAAAAGAACTCTGCCTATATTGCACTGAAAGGACCCCGCACACCTCTTATGGGAAGCTGCACCATGAAGGAACGTTAATTTATTTATTTCATTGGATTCTCCTCAATATGCTGATCAAAAGTTACCTATAATTGCGCCAAATTTCTACCATGCACCGTTTTCGCAAAAAACAGCCGAGAAGATTCAATTATTTGGCGATAAAAAGATAGAAAGATTCCTCATTTCAGTCCTTGATTGACAAGCGACTGTGTGTCAGTGAACGTCAAACGGACGCGTCGAGAGCAGGAGGAGGGGGATAGCCCTTGAGTCAGCAGGTACAGATAAGAAGATGGACACGCGCTACGTTTTTTCCTTATTTATGTCGACCTGTTCTCAAATTCTTTGTTCTTTTTCATTACTTTTTTGCAACCCTAGTTCATTCATTGTCGTTGAATAATTGAATCTTCTCAGGGTTTTTTTCGCAAAATCGGTGCATCATAGAAAGTTGGCACAATTATAACTTTTGAACATCATCTTGAGGAGAATCGAATGACATAAATAAATTAAGGTTCCTTCATGGTGCAGCTTTCCACAAGAGGTGTGCGGGGTCCTTTTTAGTTAAATTTCATGAGTGACTTCTTTGGCCTTGAGACAATGGAAATCCTATTTCAAAATTTGATGAAAATGATGAGTGGCCGAAAACATGACTCTAACCAATGCGGTATATTGCGTGCTCTTCTGACACAAATGCAAGGTCTCAGATAATGTACGAAAATTGAAGGAATCGATTTCTGGGGTCGAAAAGGACGTTTTTGGGATAAAACTTGTAATACAAAAAAAACTTTCCCTGGGGACACTAAAAATTACCCCCAATTACCAGTTTTCATTAATATTGGTTAATAAGCATTGTCACAGTCTTGAAAGGACGATTTCTTTTCCTCAACTTAGGTAGGCCATGGTCCGTAGGAGACATTTTAGAGGAGGAAGTTAAGAATACCACAAAAACTTTTCTCCTGACTCATGGAATCGACTCCTTCAATATTCGTGCTTAATCCTGGGACACCCTGTGTGGCGACCATCGAATCACCGAAGCCTCAACCATGTCCGACAAGCGAAAGCTATGAGCGGCATCCGTAAAATTAGTTCCAGATAAAAACTGTTAATGAATCTTACAAAAATTCGATGCTGGACCACTCAGTATTAATGCTGCAACATTTCAAGAATCAGTTCTGTACATTAATTTTAATACTGCAATGGTTGCAACTTCTCAAAGACAGAAACCATGCAGCAATGTAATCTGTTGGTGGATATGGTACCTAAATAACCTGAAACAACCGTGAGTAATGCCTTCTGTATTGAACTTATTAATAGGATTTATAAGACAAATAATATTTAGCCTCACAGGCTGGCTAAGAGCATGGAAATGATCGGAAGTGTTCCATCAATTCATGATGGATAACTGCAATCCTTAACGATTGAGAAATTGGATGTGTATTAGTTGCCCTAGGCAACGTATAAAAACAAGCATTGTATTGATTTTGAGTCCTTAATAATATTAAGGACACTGAAAAATAGCATCACAGTAAATGTACTGCAGCAGAAGAATGCTATGAGGCTAAACGAAATAGAAAATTCTAAAAATCAAAAAGGCACCCATCAAAACAGGATGTTGTGCAAGGGTTGACAAAGCAATTTTGAATGACCTTGAGCGGTGTAATCACCGTGACTATTCCTGAGTGGCAGGATCGTGAGTAAAATAATAGATCGGCCTTGGCACAAAGAAGATAGAATCAGTCGCCAATATAAAGATAACTTTAATGAAAGTATGCTCGGTGCGAGAGAAACTGCATTAGTTTATGGTATAGCATTGACGGAAGGTGTCAGGAAATCCATGTAGGGTACTGTTGTACCTTTACTGGATGAACTTCTGTTTACCTGGGAGCATAGCTGAGAAAGGAACTAAAACAGCTAAGAATATCCCAAAACGAATTTAATCTACGGGATCTCACAACAGGACGGTCTCACAATTACAGGGAACTGAGAATAGGCCATCAAAGATTCATTGAGGTACATATGCTCTGAAGTTGCGACATACGTTTACCTAGAGAATTTGACTTCGTGGAGTATACTTGAATTGAAAACTTACTTGATCACGGTTTCTTCTTCAAAGATAAGTAAAACGGAACAAAAAAACCCCAAAACAATAAAATTAATAACTAGCCATGAGCTGAAAGCTGCAAATTGTTCTTCCGCTCAAAAGAGAATATACATTTACAAGATGGCGGCGTGATGTGCAGCGCGTGATTGCGTGGTTTCCAAAGCAAGGTTGCCAAATGTAACTTTAATTATTGATTTTTCTACATAGTGAGGTAACGGATTTTTAACTTATTTACACAAAGAAAGTAGTTTTGCCTGTTCATGCTTGGGCATGAAGATAAAAACCCCATCACAGGGCAAAAATATAAAAATAAAAAAGAACAAAAAAAACCCGATGAATTATGAGTAGGGCGACAACTGCGACAACCGTGTTGGGAGTTTCAGGAGTGTATAGGAGAGGAGAGGGGAACATTTCAATGATGTTGCCAATAATGTTAAAGTTATCGGTAATTTCTATTTCACGAGAACAGTCAAAAGAGAACAGGAGTTTGTAAAGTAAAGAGTCAATATTTTTCCGACAACGACCAACGGCGAATTTTATCACTGGACTGAGGAAGTTTATGCGACGCTTATGTAAGTATTTTAAGCCGTTATATTTCGGGCTTTCGGCTGTCACCGTTGCATTTATCAGGAAAAGATCACGAGACAATTACAGAATAGACTGGGGGGGGGGGGGGGNGGGGGGGGGGATTAAAAAAAATTAGGTTGCTCTTTCCTCCCGATTGTGAGAAGTTGTTCGAGTAGGAAAAGGAAATAGTCGAATACAGGGCCGGATTTAGGTATACCTATTTGCCGCCCGTGGGCCGCCTGTATTTTACTGCCCCCTTCTCATTCGTCTTGAAACATCAATAAAAACCATCAAATGAACGTGCCAGCGGGGGAGAGGTGCATAAGACGCGTTTACTTGTGTTGAACACATTTTTTGGGAAAGCCCTGTCAACACTGCTAGCAAAGGTTCACGAAACTTTGTGCGAAAGTTAAGTTCCGTAAACCTATCTCTGCGTGGACAATTAAGGCCTTCTATTCATAAGAAATGAACGAAAAGATTATGAAAGAACAAACATAAATTTAGATTAATGATTTTAGCTTCCGCCGCCACGCCGCGCAGACCGCACCGTGTTTGGCGCAATGCGTGAAGTATTCACGCAGTCTTGTAGGCGCTATTGTCGGCGCTATGCGTTTCACGCTGATCGCACTGTTTGCCGCAATGCGTGAAGAATTTGTGCAGTCATGTAGGAGCCAGGGGCGGACTGGCCATGGGGGCGGGGAGGCGATCGCCCCCTAACAATTTGCCGCGGCGAATTTTTTTCGAGTCGTCATTTTTTCCCGTAATGTTGTAATTTTCTTATCCTTTTCAATCACTAAAAGGCCCCGAATTCCTTGAAAATTTGTCTCTAAGAGACATGGAAGGTCGCCAAAAGCGTTTGTGATGAAGGGACCCCCGATGAATCATGAGAATGGGATATTTTGAAGTTCAAGTACTGTAGAATCCAACTTCAATAATGCCTACGTGTTTAAAAAGTGTAAAATTTTCAAAATTTACTGGGGAGGGCCCCCGGACCTTCTTAGAGGGGCCCACGAACGACAGAAGGGGCCCTTACATTTAGGTCTCCTCCTAACTTTTCGACTACCAGTCCGCCCCTGTGTGCCGCTACTGCAGTTTCGACCGTTCAGGCCATAGTTTAAGGGCGCTAAAGCCAGGATTGTATTTCGCAAACAGATGATTTTTGCAGAATAATTAAAAATTAAGAAGCAGGAGTAATTTAACTAAATAATAAACGGAACTCAAATCTACAATAAAATGAAAAAAAATTGGAAAATCTCGTCATGAAAATACAGAAAATTCGAAAACGCCTTCAAATGAGGCGTCATACCTCACGCGTTCCGGAGAGTTCAAATGGTTGTATCCCTGCGCCTCAGCAAGGCGATGGAAGTTTAATATTGAAGTAGCGTCCCCGCTTGGTTTTTCGGCTTTCATGTGCCGCTACTGCAGTTTCGACCGTTCAGGCCGTAGTTTAAGGGCGCTAAAGCCAGGATTGTATTTCGCAAAAAGATATTTTTTGCAGAATAATTAAAAATTAAGAAGCAGGAATAATTTAACGAAATAATAAAAGGAACTCAAATCTACAATATAATGCAAAAAAATTTGGAAAATCTCGTCATGTAAATACAGAAGATTCGAAAACGCCTTCAATTGAGGCGTGATACCTCACGCATCCCGGAGAGTTCAAATAGTTGTATCCCTGCGCCTTATTAGCAAGGCGATGGAAGTTTAATATTGAAGTAGCGTCCCCGCTTGGTTTTTTGGCTTTCATGTACCGCAGGGGCGGACTGGCCATGGGGGCGGGGAGGCGATCGCCCCCTAACAATTTGCCGCGGAGGTCCCGAGGGGGCCCCCGCGGCGAATTTTTTTTCGATTCATCGTTTTTTTCCTTTAATGTTGTAATTTTTTTATCCTTTTCAATCACTAAAAGGCCCCGAATTCCTTGAAAATGTGTCTCTAAGAGACATGGAAGGTCGCCAAAAGCGTTTGTGATGAAGGGACCCCCGATGAATCCTGAGAATGGGTTATTTTGAAGTTGAAGTACTGTAGAATCCAACTCCAACAATGCCTACGTGTTTAAAAAGTGTGAAATTTTCAAAATATACCGGGGGAGGGCCCCGGGACCTTTTTAGAGGGGCCCCTGAACGACAGGAGGGGCCCTTACATTTAGGTCTCCTCCTAACTTTTCGCCTACCAGCGGGGCGATTATTGAAATGATATCGACTCTATGTCAGCGCTTTGTCGTGTCGCGCCATCGACTAAGCAATGGCTTAGTCGATGGCGCGACACGACAAAGCGCTGACATACAGTCGATATCATTTCAATAATCGCCCCGCTGTCCGCCCCTGGTAGGGGCTTATATGTGTTTCCGATCGCCGCGCCGAAGGCTTCCCCTTTTCATCTCAAGTCCTTGTCATCGTTTCCCTCTAAATCGCGCCGTTCCAAGCGAAATTGCGTGTTTGGTTTCTCTCTTAACTCGACTAATTAAAGGTGCTGTCTCTTGTATCACTGAAAAACTACAAAAGTAGAAATTACTATACTCTCAGAAAATTAGAGATTTTGTCGCCTTTTCTCGTTTGTAATTTTTTTTCTAAATTCGAATTTTCTATACCTACATTTAAAAAAATTTCAAGATTTGCCGCCCCCTATAGATTTGCCGCCATGGGCAGCGGCCCATGTGGCCACCCCCTTAATCCGGCCCTGGTAGAAATAATATCCCGAAGGCATACAACTGGACTTGGATAGAAGATGAAAAGAATATTTGAGAGGCTTAGAGGAAAACGCGCAAGAGTGCGGTTGTTTTTAAAAATTGCAATTAACGGTTTCAAGGAAAACTAATCTCAATGCATATTCTGTGAAAAAATCGCTCTCAAATTCCAATTTCTCTCCACCATGAGGATCCATGCAATTTTGAAACTTCAAACATATATCTCTTGAAATACCCAGAACTTCACAATCATGCGCCATTTACGCTAAGCTTCTCATTACTCATCTACCCTCGGGGAAATCGCAATTTTGTTTCAATATTTTCATTGCTTCCTACTAAGTATTTGGATCGCGTTTAGTAGAGAGGAACCGAGCCACATCAGCGTATGCCAAATGTGTTACGGCGTTTTAATTTTCTTACAAGAGCACGTTTGTGCGGATTCTTTTGAAAATTATAAGGAATTCGATTCGACTATTAATTATGTAGAAAATTCACTGAAATTTGCACTACAGTCCCGACTCCCGCCGCACCGCCGGATGGATTCGTGTAGAAAATTGGATCGCCCAAATAAATTTAAATTTAAATCGCCCAATTAAATTTGGGAATAGCCGATGCGGCAAGGATCCTTGTTCCTTAATGCAGTCCATTTCTCCCGTGACAGCAAGGAGAGGAGTAAGTGCAAAATTGAGGTTTTGAGAAATCGGGCTCAGAGGCGTCTGACTGGAAAATTTTTTTGAAAGAAGCCTCCGTTCCAGTAGTCGGGGGGCATACGTAATCCCGTGTGCAGATTCGTGAAGGCATATTGTGTGATACATCAATCTCTTCGTTTTGATGTCTAGAAAAAGAAAATCGATGATGGCCATCTCAAATTTCATACAACCCCCCCC